GGCAGAAGTCATCTAGCGGACACCAGGCGGGTTGGAGAAAATAGCCAGAACAATGTGGCATATTGTTGCTGGAGAAATTGTGTTGAAATAAACTCATTCCCATTAATTTCTGAAGCATGATTAAAAATTTTTTCCCAAAGATTAAATTATATTTTAATTGACTCTTCATGTTTTGTTTAGACCAATGCAGTAACTTTAAATTCATTTTGAATAAGTTAATAATGTAAAAGATCACTTTATTCACATCAAATATTTTTTTTAAGTTCAGCACGGATTACGAATCATGCTTGAGTGCGGAACTCTCCTATGAGCACTAATTAAACTTGAATTTTGAAGCAGATTTTCTTGTTGCAGTTAAATACACTGTATTCATTTCTTTTATCATTCAAGTGTTCAAGCAGTAAATTTTAATGTACACAACTTAAAGCAGTATTAATGTTAGCTCTCTGTGTGTTTCATTATTGATTCTTTATGTAGATTTTTTTTTCAATTTTTGCAGTGATTGCTTAAAATGATTTTAAATTGCTATTTGATATTTATTCTTGCATGCTGATTGATAACTGTTGCTGGTCATGTATGTAAATTCCTTTCATTAAATTCCCATCTTTAATTCAATTGTTTGAGTATTGTATTTATAATGAAGCTGAAAAGCTTTAACATATTGACTTTTTCCAAAGAATATTTATTTGTATTCATTAAGTCAAAATCAATCTAAATATGATCAGCGGCAACTTTTGTCTAATGAAGTCGATTTGATTTTAATTTCTGTGCGCCCAATGCTAAAGTACGGAAATAATTATAGTACATTATAAAATCGTATCATTAAACCATTGTTCATTATAAAAGCCCCATTTGATCAGGCAAACTCTATAAAAGGCCGGATTCATCAGACATCGATTTTATATTTTTAAGTCCCGCAGATCTATAATTTTGAAGGAGATTTAAAGTTTGCTCTGATTGATAAGCACAGGGAGTGAATAAAGAAATTATTGATTTTCATGTCAAAAGCCAATTTTGAAGGCTAAAGGGTTTTTACAATGAGACGGACAAAGTTTAACTGATAATGCTTTGTAACAAGAGAAGAGAATAGAAACATCATTCAAATATTGAAAGCTGAGTTCAAACATGATATTAATACAAATGATAAAGTCTTCATCATCAGAAGCAAGGAAAAAGTGAATACTGTTGACAGACAGGCATATTTTTTGTTCGAAATTAATTTGTTTATTTTTAGTTTAGAATCACTGATTTGAAATAATAGTCTCAGCCACTCCTGTTATGAATCAATAGAAATAAAAGTGCAGGTTGCTGCTGCAGATGTTTTGTAAAATATGACATGCTCTTATTATTTTATTTTTATCCATGAGAGAATTTCTTATAATATTACCACTGTTTCACTTTGCCTGTCTGTCAGTCTATCTGTCATGTATGTATAGCTCTGAGTATCATAGGATTTTGCATCATGTTGAGTGAAGCTCAAATATATACGTATAGGAGAATGTCTTGAATTTAAATCTTAGGTTTTATTAAGAATTTCAGTAGAAGTAATTGTTTCCTTTCATTTTTTTCGCGTGGGGGGGGGGGGGGCAATTACATGATATTCATTACCTGTAATCCTTTCATTGTTTCATAATAAAGAAAGGAAAAAAGGATTAAAAAAAAAAACCTAGCTGAGTATTAAAAGTTTAAATTTTTTTTTTCATTTACCCAGTTTCTTAGTGGATTATTTATTTCTCAACTGGCCGGTTCAAATCACATGTGTCTTTTCTTGCACTGAGCTGACATTTTTCAGCACTGCACTGAACACTGCAATCAGTTGCATTAGCATGGCTTTATTCCATTTAAATAAAATTTTGTGAAAAAAATGTTTTACAGTAAAATGTTTTGTACAGTGTTCCAATTTATACATTATACATTTTGTCCCTTTCCTGTATCTGCAAGTATGTTGTTTTTTGCGTATATTCTCAATCTGGTTTTAGACAGAATTTGTTTCTTGATGCTGCCACCTTTGATAAAGTTCATTGAAATCAAATTACATTCTTGATAGAAATTGTTTGAGATGCTGGCTTTATCTATTATTCACTGTTGAAATCATCAGACATGGATTATCTTTGGGTCAGAAGAACCTATTGAAAATTCTTTTGTTTAGTCATGAAAGAAGTTAAATATAAAAGAAATAAAATCATGTTTGGTTAGTTGATTGCATAGTCTTCAGATGAAGAATTTCCTGTCTGTAGAAATTAAATCAGGCTTTATGAGTTTTGTCTGAAACTGGAGGTGTCAAAGTAGGCGCACAGCGAAAAATGTAACAATTTTATTGCAGTTTTTGAGATAAATTGATAGATTGACTTGAGTAGTTTCTGTAATGTTCAAATTTGTCAAGTTTGGGAGAATGATTAAAATAATATTTGAATTTGTGTTGGGCAATATCAGTTTTCTATTTGTCAAACTTGACATATGAAATCCACATTTAAAAAGCAATTTGCATTATTCCCTTTAGACAAGAAGAGCATGCAAGCAAACACTGGTTTCTAAGAATGTCAACTAGGTAATGTTATAATCACATGATCATTGCCTTCTGCTAGAGGTGTCATTGTAAATACGCTCAGACTAATCTAGGGCAAGAAAATTCGGTTTAATGTCATGTAGGCATTAATTAAAAATTTTCATTATTGGAAAAAATCCCCTGATCTCTAAGATTAAGTTGTTTAATTGCATAAGAAGATTGTCTTTTATCAATGTTAATTTGATGATTTGAGTCTTTTCTTCTGGCCATTTTTTTAATATGTGATTTAAGAAGATTTGTCAAAGTTGCGGTATGTTTAAGAAGTCGTTTCCATATCCAGTAATCAATTCTTTGTATCCTCAAAGAGACACAAAGGGCTGCAATGAAAATAATACAACAAGTGTGATCTTAGCTTACCATGACGTTAAACGCGAAAATGTAAAGTAATGATCATTAGTGCTCTTTAGAATAGTCAACGACATTAAAAAAAACACGCCCCCCAAAATTGTTCCCTTTGAATTTAAACACTCATTATCTTCCCACGTACAAATGACATTCTTTGGCAAACATCATTTGTAAAGATTGCTTTTGAAAAAAAAAATAATAATGAAAATATGTATTTATATAGCATGTTATTATATTCATCTATGTAATACTTATTGGAATATAAAATGAAATAACATGGATGAAATTTTTTTCCCTAAATAGAATTTTCCAATTATATGAAACCTAAATCTTTATAATGAATGTAATTTTCTGTTTGCCCATCTTGATAACTAGCAGTTAGTTGAATTTTCTGCTTGAAATATTTTTCATTTAATTTCATTACAGTTTCCTCCACTTATAAAATGAATGACCGCAAGGTGACCTATCAGAGCTATTTTAGGTGCTTCTTCTCAAATCGAATTGCCTTGTTGTAATGTAATCAACTTTCTTAGAAAATTCTATTAAAATTTGCAGAAAATGAGTTTAATTTGAGAATTTGTTAGGGATGGTTGCTGTATAAGTGCATAGTTTGGACCAGATTGTGTATATATTCTCTAAAGTTATTGCTTTAGATTAATTTTTTTTTATGATATGTGACTTATGTATGTACTTTCATTTACATTAATTTTGTATCTTTTAACACCTGAATGTTCACATTGAATTACATTTACTAATTTCATCAATTTGTTACGTATGGATTTGATGAAATGAAAGGGAGAATTTTTTCACTTTGGATTAAAATACATGTGGATGTAAACAATTGTTTTGTTTCATTATACTTATTTTTGCCACAGTCCAAAGATTTAATCTAAAGGTTGTCAACACTAAGAGACAAATTTAATCATTTTTAAAGCAACTTTGTCAACCATGTGTGTAATTCATCAGAAAAAGCTTGATAAATGAAATAAAACATGGACTTTGATAAGCAGCGTTATTACACATTTTTATCATGTAACCTACTCGGTAAAGATAATTTTCAGAATTGCACTTTCCACTCAGAGCAGAAAAAAAACCTTTTAATTGTCTTATGACACCCAACTGTTTCACAGTTTGATAGCAATGAACTTTTCAGGTCCAAATGAAAAGTATATTTATTTAACATTTTGAGCAAATTTGTGACATGTCAACTCCTATATTATAGATTTAATTTCACTGGGTTTTTTAAATCTCTTTTCAATTTAATTGATTTATTTTAATTTCTGTAATTTTGTTTTTTGTTTTTATAGAGAATTTACATAAATAGGAAAAAGTAGAATGGCCATATAATTTGAAGTAATTGCATTCAGCCAGATTAGTAGTTAGAGCCACTGAGCCAGAAATAACAAACTTGGATGATACATGTACCATATGTTCAAATCAAATCATGTACCATTAGTACCATATGTTCAAATCAGATCATGTATCATTAGTGACCATGTGCAGAATATAGATTTAGTTTGTTCCAAATACATCCCCTCGAGGCATGTTTGTACAGCAACTGTACCACAATATGGGTCCACATTTTTTACATGGTATTTTAAGTTAATTGTTAATCTTTTCATGAACAAGACTAATCTCTGAAATTGATGCATGTTTGAATCCAAAAGGAAGGAAGTGACCATAATTATACATGTAATGGTGTTGAACAGTTCTTAGATGAGTGATATTAATTTCTACTTAAAAGCTGGACATCTCAGGTGAGTTCTGTTGCCCAAAGGCCTCTGAATCTGTTACCCATTATTTCCTAAAAGTACTTTTCTGCTTGTTTCTAGCTCTAGCAGTGAAAGCCTAGGTGATTTTAAGAGCTTATGCATTGGTTAGGTGTCTGTCTGTCCGGTTGTATGTGTATTTTAACCATATTTCAATGGTATTCCTCCTAAAGTTCATACACATGAATTTACCAAGTTTTATTTTTTGAAAAAGTTGTGTTGCCATGGTTACCAAAAATAGAATATTCTATTAAAATGTTTCATATTTTTACTATGTCTACCTTTTTTGTAATTCTTATGATATATTTTTATCATCACAGGTGAGGAAGATGAAAAGACACCGCTAGAAACAGATGAAAATACCGCAGACTCCACATCTCCAGTCTCCCCAGGGACCCCTGGTCCAGAGGAGGGGTAAGTCTGAGGGACAGGTCCACACATCTGCATGGGATTATACTGTAAAATCATTTAGAGGAAAAATTACTGGTTTGAGGGGAATTAATTTCATGTCTAAAGGAGAAACATTCTGCAGTATGAAATTTTAATCTTTCATGGAGGATATGAATTTGTGGGTCTCTACATACCATGAAAACAACAAAAATTAAACCCCATTAAAATGAGTGTTTTCACAATGTATGAGCCAGCTCAAACTGGTGTCAATCTGAAGAGCTTGTGATTTACTTTTGCACAGATAAGGATCTTCAAAGTTAATATTTTTGGAGGAAATTTTTCCCCTGTACATTTTTTATTGCCTTCATGTACCTTTGCAAGGAAAATGTTTATTATAAATTATGATACATGTACTTAATGCTCATCTTTGTTTCTATATAATTGCATGTGCTATGCAATCATTAAAAGCCCTTCCTGACTGCTGAATGCTCAGTTTTATTTTTGTATGACATTGTTAGGGAGGTAGAATATGGATTCATAGAGACTACAGACAGACAAACAGATGAGGAGCAAACACAAAATGATGTCAAGTCAGATACTGGGGACAGTCCCACTGAGCAGGTAGGACTAGTTTTCTAGGCACCTTATAGAACACCTTCTTTGACCAGAAGCTTTTGATGTCGAGAACTTTTGGATAAAGTAAGGATCTGTGTTCAGTGCCCAGTTCTGATGTAATTTGTCACCAGTGCCTGATAGCATCATGTTCTGAAAAGAACTGTAAAAATGCATGCAATTATTCTTTAAGAATTAACTACAAAGAAGTAATGTACAGATTAGTGAAGAAGACACATCAGGTATATAGGGTTATAGTCAGCTAGCAAACATGATGACTACACCTAAATCAAACTTGTCTCTCATGAAAAGATGACATTCTTGTGCATCAAGGATAGACATTATAAAAGTGAAAATTTGACAATTTCCTCAAACAAGACTTTTGAGTAGACAAGAAATGTCTCTCTGAGAATCTAATGAAAAAATCTTTAATTGAGATGTAAATGCAATGAAATAGACCCTTAAGCTGGGATAGAAATGCAGAAGGCAAACTGTGTAAAAAGTTTTAAAGGCAATTTGTGTGTTTTAAATTTGATTTGCGATTCCCAGCCTGAATAAAAATAAAAAACGCAAGGACAAAAAAACTTAAATCAAATTGTGTCAACCACATGGGGATTTAGTGGTTAAAGAAGATGCATTATGTCTGGTTAGGCTGTGAAATATTTTAAGGAAGATGTCGACCTTTACCATGAAGTGTGGCTCAGGAAAAAAGTTCAATTTTCTCTATGTGTAATAAAATTTGTTTTATGATTGGTCTTCAGTCTCAGTAATTATCTTTTCTTTACAGTAATTATTTTCAGAAAAGAAGGTCAAACAGAAGTAAAACCATTTTCAGTATTCAAATATAAGAAGTACTCACAAAATAAGTTCAGTGCATATGAAGTAATGCCAGGCTTAGGTGTTTTTTTTAGTTACAATGAGTTGAAGGTTTATTGACCTTTTCTTTTCAAACTGTCAGTTTATATTCTCAACCTCTAGATATTTGGGACAGAGCAAAGTTGATTAAAGGAAGTTTATTCAAACATATACAGTTGAACTCTGATATCTTGAACACTGATATGGATATGTTGAAGTGATTTAGAAGTCCCAACCACTTATTTTTTTTTTTATTTTTTTTTAGTATTTTACCCTGAATAGATATCTCGAAGTTTTTTTCTCAGTCCCATCACGTTAAGGATATTAAGGTTTGATTGTAGTTATCTCCCCTTCTAAGAGAATAACTATTAATATTTATTATATAACATAGTCACTCAGGACAACCAGTAGTTAGATTAATCTGTTCAGGTAGGCAGATAGCTGGTTTTAAGTTTTCCTCCTGTATAGTATCTAGCAAATTTTCATTGCAAAGTGGTGGGCAGAATAAAAGATGAATGAAATGTGGAACTCTTTGAAGTAAAATTTCTGATATTAAAATGATAATAAAACAGAGAGTTAGGTGGTGCTTAAAAAAATAAATTCCATGGTACTGTATTTTCGTGTTTCAGATCAGGTTGAAATTGTTGATGATTAAGTTCGACCTTTTACATCTTAATGTTAATGGGTAATGTATATTTCAAGCACATAAGCATATATATTATAATAGAAATTTTTTTCCAAGAAAGTTCAAGCTATGCTCATATTGTAATCTGGAAAAGTCCAGGTGCAGAGGAATTGTGTCAACTGTATTTCCTAGCAATGGACTCAGAACACCCATAAGATTGGAGGTTTGGGGGAGGGGGGTGAATTTTATGGAGATCCACTAGCGATCATATTGTAGCCATTTAACAAAATGGGTGTTTCCTCTAGAAGAGATTGCAGACAAGATTTGGACAGTAATGTTTTTTAGCCCTGTCTCTGAGTACTGTCATTTTTATATAAATGTTATATAGCCTGCCCACTCATGCTTTTGTTCGGACGATAATATTTATTTTCAAAACATTACTAAGAATTTGATCTGTTCATTATCTATTTTTCTGTGGGTAAACTTTCAGGAAATGAAAGTGTATGTTAAACTTTGCAGCCAAGTACACTACCAACTTTCTCTTGAAAAAATGAAAAATGTGTCTGCTTTTATATTATATTTCATGATATTATCTTGTCATATTTAAGAGTAACAATAAATTAAATCAAGTTGCCCCTAATTAAGCTTTTTTTGCATCAACTGTCAGATCGGGGACTGTGGTTATAAACATGATATAGTAATTTATGACTATATTAAGGAGTACTGTAAAAGAAATCGCAAGAAAATGAAATGAGGAGAAGTGAAACAAACATGGCTTAATTGACAGATCTGTATTTAAGAGTGTCTGGCAAATTAATCTCCGAACCCGTCAGACTTCTTTAATACGGTTAGAAAACTTGACTGAGAGCCAATATTAGGCTTTAATTGAAGGTCGAAATTCCTTTTAGACAATTTTTTATTCTAATCTTTTGATGAAAATTGCAATTATAGTTGGATTGATTTCGATTTGGACTGTCTCAGAACAGACAAATTTGGTTTGTGTAACCTATGGTATATGATATCAGCCATTTCTAGAACCTAGTCAGTAATGGACAATATTTTATCAAAATCGGGACAATCCTTATAATCGCTAGAATTGTCTGAGACAATTTCCAAAACAGTCAATACTTATGGACAAGATAGGACAAAATATGGCATTTTCTGTTTACTTAATATAAAAAGCATTAGACAGTTCACAACAGATCATCTGTTGGGACGATTTCATCGCCTTATTAGGCAAGAATTTTGCTGAGTGTAATTTTCAGATAAAATCGGGTAGAACCATTAGAATTGGACTGTTTGAAGGGGAAGCCATTACTGACCATGTAGAATATTTCAGCTAGGAGCATATGGTGCATATTGTCTGTTTTTAAAAAATGTAATGAAAAAATCTGGCAAAGTGATGGATTGTTTTCAGACTTTGCTTATTAACTTTGCGCTGGGGCAGTTTTCTATTGATTTTCTACTCAATTTGAAAATCTTTGTTGATTTAAGAAAAGATACAGATGCACACTGTTTGTTTTCCAAGCACTTCAGTCCCTCTTTGAAAATGTCATCAATTATTTTCTCTAATGCCTCCACAAATCCAGGGCATTGTCATTCTTTATCAACAAGATCTTTTGAATATTTTAGGGGATGATGGGAGATTGGAAAATGTCGGAATTTTCATCTTACTGCCATATAAAGCTAGGGACCAAGTTGAAAAACCGTATACATTGCCAAGTTTTGTCTGCTCTGATCAATACTATAAAGTCTTTCCAACCAACTGAAAAGATTAAAAAAATCAATATGCCATACTCCAACATTTTAAGTTGCTTTGGCTGACCACATAAATGAAATAATTTTGATGGAATTGGCACTAGAAAATTGTTTTCAATTATCTTTTCCTCTTTCGGGATCGAAATTGAACTATTTCTCAAGTAAACATATGCGATGAATGTCCGTCTGCATTTTTTTCTCAGATGATATATTTATGGTGTTTCTTTGACGGATTGAGATTTTTTAATATCAAATGAAACATAATGGCCATTCTACAACTGTCTGATGTATTCTTTCATGACAAACAGATATTTGTTACTTATGTATTGATTAACTCAAAATTGGCCCCCAGATACCCAGTGCCTGTAACCTTTCAGTATATTAGTAGATATTTTTACTGCCTTAAAATATTAATAATTGTAATAGCAGATGTTTTATGAGCCAGTATGAAAAACCATTTCATTTTTTATGGCCATGGTGTACTACTTAACAGTACTACTTATATGGATTACTCTCTCTATGTTTAATAAAAAGTCACTTTTATTTTAGTGATTCAGTATTGAAAGATCAAGTTATTTTACATCATTTATTTGTTTTTACATATACTTTATTAGAACAAAAGTGTATACTTGGACATTTTTTCGAACCATATCCAGATACATGTATATATTTTCTCTTTAGAGATTAATTAGTCTCATTAACTAATTACAGGGAAGTGACAGAGAAGAGGGGGGTGAGGAAAGTGGAGAGTTATCAGTGAATCAGATGGAGCTATTAGAACTAGAGATGAGAGCTAGAGCCATCAAAGCCATGCTGCTAGCTCAGGAACAAAGGGACAAACAGACTGACTGAGCCAAGAGCAGTAACTCTCACAAACTCTCAAATCATTCCCCATGAATTTCACAATTTTATCATGCCAAACTACATGTATATTTTCATATTTTTATATGAATATTTTTCATACACTGAATTGAATGTAATTACTAAGTATTTTACAAGTGCAGGACAACTAAGAAAGTTGTCAATGAGTGAATTTGTAACATTTTTTGTTTCAATATTTTTTTTTATTGTTTTATATGACAGCTTTTATTTTTGTAATGGAAAGACAATTAAAAATGTCAGATCTCAATCCTTTTTTTTTTTTTTATGATTAATGCAAATGAGAGAAGAGATACTGTCTTTGTTGAACTTTTTATAATAGTTTTTTTTTTTTTTTTTTTTTTTTTTTTTTTTTTTAGGGGGGGGGGGGGGTATTCTCTATTGAGAAGTTGATGGCTTGTTTTAATACTCCCTCTCAAACGAGCCATCAACTTCTCAATAGAGAAGGGGGGGGGGGCACAATATCATTTATACCTGATGAAATTTACAGGAAATGGCAGTATGTGATTTTTTTAGACAGTTCTCCGAATTGAAAACATGAGAACTTAAATCTCTCTGATGGCTGAAAATCAGTATAATTAAAGTTTGTCATCATTACAGCTATTTTACGTGTATTGTTGACATCGCTAAAATAATGTGCTCTATACTAATAAATAGGGCTCATATATCATTCCTTCATTTGCCAGAATATCAGTTGAAGGAATTTGTTTAGTGAACTTTTTTCCAAACGCGAAAAACTTGGGGATGGGGGAGAGCCGCTTTCCTTCACTTCTAAAGCTTAATAATATGTCTCTTCCAACCAACTTAACAGGTATCCGCGTTTTCTAGGGGGTGTGCAAGGTCATTTTTAATTTACTATGTACATTATTCCCTCCCCCCCCCCTTCTAGATCCACGCATGATCTATATTTTTTCCAGTTCTGAAATCGAGGTAAGAAAGCATGACGATATATAAGAAGTCATTTTCACTGGACATCGAGTGCATTCTCCAATAAAATATTCATTTAAATCAATTATTTTAAGCAATATACATATTTTCTTGTTTCAATTCAACAAAAGAAAAGGTGAAAATAATGAAGAGATTTGTCAGATTTGAATAGAAACGATTGAGGTGGTACACGTAATTGATGATGTGACAGGCTTAAGAAGCATGTAACTTGTTAACAGCTGACATTTTACAGCAACTTGTAGATACAATTGTATATAGATTTATGAATCTGGGAATAAAGAAACAATTGATGCCTTTGTATTCTGTTTTTAACCAAATTCTGTTTTGAACTTGGAATTCCAAGGTCCAGTCTCCTGCGGTCTATTCTGTACAAGGAGAAGATAGATAACTCTCATTCGTATTTGTTCCATTTGAGTTTTCTTCGTCACAGACGAATCCATGTAATAATTTCCACCTGGAAAAGGAACAGGACAAATCCAGTTAATAGATAATACATTAAAATGAGCAAAATAGACATATATCATCTATTGCAAGGTTGTAATGTAATTATTTCTTCAAAATGTATTTCTTTTTTAAGTTGAAGTGATCTTTAAAGTAATATTTGCGTTTATTTGATAGCTATAGATATACCTGATAAACAGACCTAGTTTTATTCTTAACCAAACTTATGCTGATATGTTCAAAATTCCAAGCCTTAAATCTCAAGTAAAAAGTCGAATCTAGTTTTGCGACCTCCATACCGCTATCTACAAGCGTGCGTAAATATGGTAAAACGTATTGAAAGTCAATGCAATTAGTGGTTCGGCAAGTTTTCGGTTGTCTCCTGTGGTGGAGCAAGGTCTTTCAAACAATTTTCCTTAAACCCAATCGTGTAATCTTTGGTACAGGCACGTAGTATTCGGGGGGGGGGGGGGGGGCTACTTTTTCTTAGAAAAGTGTTTTGCTATCAATTTATTATGGAAATTTCATTGAAAATCCAAGAAATAGGTTTTTCGAGTTTGCACAAATTTTTTACTTTGATTTCATAGTCAAAAATATGCAAATATATGAACAATGCCATCGTTTATGTCCCCCACCTATATACGGAATCCTGCATTATTTAATGGAATTAAGAAAGTAGATTTGTCTGCATGATATTGCTTTTGTGCAACCTGTTCTAACGTTATTGAAGATTACGAAATATAATTGAACTTTCGAACAAAACGGCAGCGTTCGAAAATTTTTAAATATCCTGTTTTATGATTCAATTAAACCTCTGTGTGTGTGTGTGTGTTTACATGTGTGTGAGGGTGTGTGTGTGTGTGTTAATATAAAATGGATATGTTGATGACGATTCTCAGCTGTTTTTGTGCAACAGACAAACGCAGACTTAAAAAAAAATACCAAATAGAAAAAAAATATGTTTGTGAAACACTGATGTCCCCGTATAGCAGCTCATGACGAAGGTTAAAGTCTCTCATTGCAAATCAAACTCTAAAGTCAAGCGATCAAAAATATTGGTACCTAAAGAAAAGTCTTTCCACAAGAAATTCATCTTTGAAATATAAAAGCCCTCGCAGCAAGCATTCAGAAATTATGGTTTAGGTTAAAGTTTTTCAAAAGTAGGTCAAACTCCAAAGGTAAAAAAAAAATATTGATACCCAAAGAAAGTTCTTGTCAAAAGGAATATAAATATTTGAAGTTTGAAAGTCCTAGCACCAAGCGTTCAAAAGTTATGCCCAAGGTTAAAGTTCTTCAAAAGAAGGTCAAACTCCAAGGTCAAGATCAAAATCGTTGGTACCCAAAGAAAGTTCTTGTCACAAGAAAAAACATACTTGATATATAAAAGTTACTGCATGAAATGTAAGAGGAGTTCTTGGAATATGGATTTTGTAAGAAAACTTTTTGGCACCCAAAAGGCCTCCCCCATAAAAATGGGAATTCTGACACTGTAACGGGGACTGGGTACGTCGGCCCGGTAGGTCAGTGGTTAGAGCACCCGCACGGTTAGCGGGAGGTCCCGGGTTCGAGTCCCAGTCTGGCCGACATTTTTCCCCGCCTGTTACATTTGGCGCCCAACGTGGGGCCAAATGTAACAGGCGGGGAAAAATGTCGGCCAGACTGGGACTCGAACCCGGGACCTCCCGCTAACCGTGCGGGTGCTCTAACCACTGACCTACCGGGTCGTACTACCAAAATTGTTGAGATATGAGTTATACACCTTTAGAACCCGAATAAATCAAAGAAACAACAAACTGAAATTTTAACAAAATTTAATAAACAAAACAAAAATAACTTTTTACAACAAAATAATTAAAAATAATAGAAATGAAATGTCTATCTGCAGACCGTCCTAGGAAGTGTCCTGTAAAGTAGGGTTAACTAATCACAGCACCTCTGCTTAACATTTTCAGAATTTTGGTGTTGAATTTCCTCACACGTAATTTTCATAAATGAAACATTGAATATGAATTCACAAATAACACATAAGTCACTGTTTCCTAAACTTTCACAATGCTGTGTGGATTATCTTTTGGTTTAATCAATATATTTTTCAAAGAGTGGAATTCTTTTGAACACATAACTTTATACAGTTATAAATGCTGGTCCCGAGTTGTCCGTCAGGGCTGCCGTATCTGACTCTCTCTCTCACATTTGCTGTTGTAAATGCATAACCAAGACTCTCCCTCTCGCCCTGGACTGGCTATTGTATCAATGGAATTTAAGTACCCCGCCCAAGACCTGTGTCATTTTAGAAACGGAACGAAAGCCCGAGGAGATAGGACCCTGGGGAAAAATAGTTAAAAAAAAACAACAACCATACTTAATGTATAGATTCTAACTATATAAACATATTTTACAAATTACATTTTCAATCCCGTAAATACCTGATGTACTTTTGAGCACCCGCCCCGGCTACTACAGAACAAGCCAAACAGGTCTAATCGTGGCTGTAACTTCCCGGGTACTACCCGAACACGAGCACGAGCTCTCAGGTAGATAAAATTGCTAACCGAGGGGCTCTCCACAGGATAAAGACCAATATCTATTATCACACGATAGGGGTATCTTAAGGGCAAAATTTAGTTTGTAAAAGACACATTATTGTACATCTGCAGGACACCGCCAATCATATTCCAAAAGATGTGTTAGCTACTGCGTAAAATGTAAAAGGAATTCAGAGAACGTGGCTTTTGTAGGAAAATGTTTTTGGTCCCCATATGACCTTCCTTATGAAAATGAAATTCAAACATACACACCTACAGGGCACCATAAATCATATACCAAAAGATGAATTGGCTTCTATATAAAATGTAAGAAAGTTCTAGGAACACGGCTTTGTAGGAAAATTTTGGCTGCTAAATGGCCTCCCATGTGAAAAAAAAATTAAGCATTTTTGCAATATTTTCAAGACACCACCAAAAGATGATTTGTCTTTAATACGTAGAATCTTAGAGAAGTTTTAGAAACAAGATTTTCATAGAAAAACGTCCTTTTTGACCCCCAAATGGTATCCAGAGTGAATTTGAAAATTCCAAAAACATTTTTGTACATCTACAGGACACAATCATATTCGTAAGATTGGTTTGACTAAATTATGAAATATATGAAGATTTCCGGGGAGAAAACCTCGTTTTCGACCCCGCCCCCCTCATTGGCTCCAAGAGGGGAAATGAAAATTCGGAAGCCCTTATTACATATCCACAGGACTTGAGTCACTTCACCGATCATATTTCAAAAGATGAATTGGCTAATGCATAAAATGTAAGAGGAGTTCAATGAAAAAAACAATATAAATATGAATGTGACGGACGGATCAGGAAAAAAACAATATACAAACTAAAACCCGAACTTTCTTTATAAAGAGCGGGTAAACCAAAACCAAAGGTGACTGAACGTCTATGCCTATGGAGACTTCATTATAGTTTTAATCTAATGCATCGTTATCTATAGCTGTTTAGGACATTTTAGGCCACAAAAATTTATATTACATGTTTATGAAGCAAACGTTGAAAACTTAGATTCAGATTGTAATTAAAGCAATACATATAAATCTTTCATATAAAAATGGTGTATTCTTATACATCATACACATGTAGTTTATTGGATTGAAAGTTTTTGTGTTTTTTCTTTCATTCATTTTTTCTATTGTCTCATCTAAAGGAACAGTCTCCTCTTACAAGTTATTCAGAGTTGTCGTTCCTATTATCAATGTTTGAAGATTCTGGCACAGGCACTTGTTTCGTAGGAAAAGGGAGGGGAGGGGGTGTCTCACCCGCTATTGCGAAAGCGAGGAGACATTAAGTCTGTCAGTCTGTCTGT